TATACAACTGCTAGGGCGGACGCGGCACGCGCCTGCCAAGACCTTGAAGCCGCTCATGGATGACCTGCGAGAAAAGCGAGGAGCCAGATGGAGGTCTATAGCGGCTTTATAATCCGTGTGCACATGGGTAATCAACGGCGAGGCGTGACAAGCTAAGAGAATCGCAAGCTGCTCTGCAGCTCCTGAGGTCTGTCGAAACTGCTGCCCCACCTGACCTGTGAGAATGGCGAAAGGTTCGTCTTCGCGCAGGGACACAACAGAGAATCCAGCCGCACGGTAGGCTGGGTGGAGTGAATTGTCGCAACTGCCGTCAGTGTAGACTTGGCCCTCGAAGGCCTCTTGCAGAGACAAATCAGGGTCCCTGCACCAGAATTCAACGTCTTCTATCCCGAGGCCAGGCCTGGCTCCCACGGAAAACTCGGGGTCCCGCTGAAAACCAAAACGCAACAAGGGCTCGTCGCTGCTCGACTGCAGCATGTCTAACTCAGATGGGCTGAAGCATTCTTCACGCTCTTTCCTGGACAACTCGCAGCCAAAAACGCGGTGCTTGATGTCATCAGACTCAGCACCACAGAGGCAGACGGGGTCGACTGGATAGCCTGCATCCTTGGCTCGAGCTTTTGTCCAGCAACCTTGGGTAAGAAACGTCAAAAGACAACCTCTCTCCTGCTTCGACAGCGAGAGATCTTTCAAAGCGGCGAGGGCTGCTGCAGGGTCTAGCCTAGCACCTGGAGCTCCAAGCTTGCTCGCTGCCTTCTCTTTCAATATATCGAACCAGTCATCCTGCATGAGCTGCTGTACAAACGCAGGAGAGTAGCTGGTCATGGGGTACTGCAGGCCACTGCGAGAAACAAAAACGAGAGGGGAGGCCAGACTCCACCCAATTCGTCTGAGAGACAAGATCATGGCCCCGAAGGGCCCCCGCACGGCCGCCCACCTCTGGGGCGTGGAGCCCAAAAGGCTCTCCCCGCGGGCCTTGAGAGCTCTCAGCGAGGCCAGCGATTGACACGAATTGGTGGCGGCACTCCACACGATCATATGCCACAGCATGGCAGGTCCAAGGGCGAGCTTCCAGGTGGGGTCACCCACTAGGATTAAGCTTAAAGTTCTGCTTCTAGTAGCGCATTTGGGCCCTGCTAGCTTTAAATATTGTTGCTGGGCAATTGCTAGTTGCGAATTATTAAGGCCCGTCACTTCGTGTCCAAAAGATGTTGCTGCAAAAATCCCCGTGTTGTAGACCTTCCTCGTGTCACCACCTCCTTTCTGAATAGCTCCCAGCCTCCTCATCCTCCTCTTGATCTGCTCCATCCTCGTCCTGGTCAGCCTGTTCTTTCGCCATCGGCATTGGGGGGCTCCTGCAGCGGTTTCTACTCCAAGATTGGGGGCTGAGATGTCCAAGTTGGTGCCTGCACGATCCTTGAGCTTTTTCTTCAAGAGAGACCTGAGCTGCGGGGTCGAGGCTACCATCTGCGTCTTGGCTGGCGAGATGCTGCAATCCAAATCCTGCTTGATACTGGCGAGCAAACGGCGGGTGCCCAAGTCGAGGCTGCTGACCACGACCTTGGGCTTCTGGCTGTGAGACTTCAAGAGGAGGTCATCAATGAACATGAAAAGGTCGAGGGGGGGATTCTGGTGGGTCCAGGAGTCCAGGGGTTCCAGGGTGTACATCTGGATGAGATAAGTAGCAAACCCACACCCTGCAGCTAGACCGTACTTAGTACAACCGACGTAGACGATCATATCCTGGAGGGCGACGAACCGAGGGCTCGAGTATATGCTGATGATGAGCCTTAAGAGGGTAGCAGGGAAACCACTTCTAAGGGCTCGCTTGGCTAACTTGCTTCTATTGACGTGCTCGTAGTAGTTACTGAGATCATACAGAACCAGACCAGAGACAAAGGCTTCGCTCTTCTTAGAGTACGTTTCGCAATCCAGATTCTGCTTGGAAACGAGCTCAACTATCGAATGTCCTGCTTGGTGGGCGAGAAAAGGTCGCCTATGATGCCTCTCCCATTCTCGAGCAGCTGACTGACGAATGCGCGCCCACGTACGATATAGGCCTGACATCATTCCTATGGATCTCATAGCTGGCTTTGTTGCTGACTTATCCTGTTGCTTGTGCTTCATGATGAGGACCGAGATGATAGCTTGCAGCTGCGACGGCATAAACCCCAGGCATTCGATGACCAGGATGAGCCGAGCTATGAGATCCGCCTGCAGTTGCGAAAGCAAGAGAAAGTGCCGCGGGTGGACTCCGTCCCAGGTCGAGGCTGTTCTGGGGGGGAAGCTCTTGGCGGCTGCTTGCACCGTTTCTCCCGTGAGAAGGCCCAGAGCGACGCGATCGTCGATATGACCAGGAACAGGGTTGGGTTGGGTCCTCGTTTGCGTGTCCCAGATGCTGGCAAGTCTTTCCGCTTCCCCCTCCAGAATTCTCGACGGCCTGCCTGACCACTGGCCGCGGTGAAAGGTAGAAGCGGGCTTCCAAGCCTCAAGATTGCGCGCCCAGCGATGTGCCCAGCCAACGCCGCCTTGCAGTGAGGTCTGCACCCAGGAAGCCCAGGCCTTAGAGGCCGCCAGATTGCTTTTGCTCCTCTCCGAATCGATGGACTTGTCCAAGTCCTCGATCAGGGTCCCGATGGCGTCGTCGGCTGTGCCCATTGCTAGCGTACCTGCTGCACTGTCGGAGATCAGCAGCTCGCCGAGCCGCTGGGAAGCGAGGAGCCCCTGCTTGAGGCTCTCGACCTCTTGAAACTCTTCTGGAGCATCTTGCAGCCCTGCGACGACAAAGACTAGTTGCTGATGATCTTGATGATGGATGCTGTAGTTGATGTCCGTTAGCCTATTGCGAAGCCAACGTAGAGGGGCCTCTAGGGATTTCCAGCTTGATCTAGCTTTAGCGTCTTTGTGCTTAGCTCTTACCCATTTGATGATAGGGGGGCTGGCTCTTGGAGTAGAGGAGTGCTTCAGCGGAGTGTCCGTTGCTCGGCTGATAGTCTGCTCCAAATCTTTGACGACCGTGAAATAGACGACGTCTAGTACTGCTTGCTTTTGCTTCTGGCTGAGAGGCTTGGCGGCATCAGCTAGTAATTGATCTGCATAGTCGAGTGCGCTTGCACTCTGAGTCCAGGCCAGCTGCTGAGGCTGTGGCCCGAACGGCCGTGTTGACGGTAGCCTCTGCGGCCGAACCAACACTGGGATCAAGAAACTGTCGGAGTCCGAGAGGTCGAGACACACTGGCCTGTGGGGAGACATCGGGTAATTGGCCCACGTGCGGGCCTTGTCGACATATTCACTGAGCGTCTTACTGATGATGAAATAATCCAGAACCGATTGAGTCTTCTTCACGCGGAAGGTTGGGCTCGATGGGGCAACCACTTGAAGGGAGGCCCTATGGAGGTAATCGGGGCTCTCGATCCTGGACGGCGATAGGTTGAAATCTCCAGCAACGATGATCGGGACCCTCTCCTGATCCTGCTGGACGGCGATGTCTGCTAACAGGCCTAGGTTGACTTCTCCAAGCCCGCCAGCTGCTTTAAAATACGCGCACATGAGCCCTAGACGAGGTAGGCCAGGGAGCTCCAAAAGTAGACCAGTTAAGCGACTACGGTCCACTGTGCTCCTGAAACTCATGTTGGATATGCCAATGTCGAGGTTGGCTCTGACTAGAATGGCAACACCGCTTACAATCTGCTGATTGTCATTGAGTGCTGCTGGTGAGATATGCGCCAACCAACCCATTGATTGGCACCACTGAACTTGCTGCGCAATGACATCCCCATCTCTGAGCTTGTGTTCCTGGACACAAATCAAAGAACAGTCACTGGCAGCACGAGATTTGATGAACTGCTTGAGCGTGGGCCAGCAGCTCCCGTTGAACGTGACGATGCCGAGCTTGTTAAAGAGACGGCGACGACGCCCCTGAGGCCGCGGCCTGCACAGCTGCCGCAGCTCCGCGCACCTTCTTGGCCCTCTCGTCGTTGTTGCCGTGGGAGGCCATGACCTCGGAAAGCTGCGACAAGCTTTCGGCTGTGCGCCGATGGCCTGCAAAGATGTGGGGCATCTCCTCGTCATGTAGATCTCGAGCTGCCACTTCTTCTCCACTGCCGACCGACATCGTCTCAGCTGCATCCCGCTCGGCGGGGGGCACGCCGCGGGCTGCGGCGGCGGAGGGGGGCCCAGGCCATGGCGAGCCGCCGAGGCCTGCCGCACCCGCGCCAGGCGCTGGCGGTGGCCCCCCGATGCCGCCGCTGTCGCCTCCCGCCTGCGCCCCCACGGCTGCCAGGTGCTGCTGCTGCAGCTGGTCGAACAGCTCGGCGACCTCCTGCACCTTGGCGGTGAGCGCGGGCGGGATGCAGCCGCCCTCTGGAATCTTGGACTGAAGGGCAGCGCTGAGCAGACCTTGCACGTTGGAGTCTGCTGACACCTCCTGTGCTGCTGCTGACGCTGCCACTGCACGCTGCGCTTCCAGCATCTGAAGTTCTTGGCGAGCCTCAGTCTGGTCATGCAGCTTCGATTTGTATTCTTCTGCCATCTTCTCGATCGAGGTCGCCAATTCGTCGAGCTCGGTCTCATAGGTGACGAGCTTGCTCTTGATGGCGTTGATTTGGCCCGTGAGCGACTGAGTCTGCTGGTCCAAACTCTTGCCCCTGAGCGCTTGCATCTTCGCTTGCTTGAGGTACTCAACTGCGTCGTGATATTCTTTCTTATCGACTCCAACCCACTTGCGCCAGAATGAAACCTGAGCCTGAGCCAACGCCACTGGGTCAGGCGGTCCCTCCTGGGACTTGGGTGTCTCCTCTGCCTCCTCAGCTGCGGCGGTCTGAGGTGGCGGTCTGGAGCCGCCTCTGCGCGGGCCTCGAGGACGGAAAGCGTCGGCATCTGCCTTGCCGCCCATGGAACCTTCCTTGAGGCTGGACCCGCACAGAGAGCACCACTTCTTGGGAGCCCATTCCCAACCACGGCAGCCACGCTTAGAACAACAAGAATAAGAACCCTTGCCCATGGCGGCAGCCTGCGCGGATGCGGGAAAAGGAGCGTAATAGTGGCCAAAATCAGTGAAGCCTGCGGGTCGCTGAATGGTGCAGCGTCGGGAGCAGGCTTATCAGAAGTCGGCGCTGTTGCCCCTTGAGCCAAAATGGCTTGAGCCAAAATGGCTACGGAGGAGGAGGAGGAGGAGGAGGAGGAGGGAGGGGGGAGGGAGGAGGGAGGAGGGAGGGAGAGGGAGGAGAGGGGGGGGAGATAGGGAGGAGGGAGGAGGAGGGAGGGAGGAGGAGGGGAGGAGGAGGAGGAGGAGGAGGAGGAGGAGAGGAGGAGGAAAAGGGGAGGGAGGGGGAGGGGAGGGGGAGGGGGGGGGGGAGGGGGATGGGGGAGGAGGGAGGAGGAGGGGGGAGGGAGGGGAGGAGGAGGAGGAGGAGGAGGAGGAGGAGGGAGGAGGAGGAGGAGGAGGAGGAGGAGGGAGGAGGAGGAGGAGGAGGAGGAGGAGGAGGAGGAGGAGGGAGGAGGAGGAGGAGGAGGAGGAGGAGGAGGCGGAGGAGGAGGAGGAGGAGGGGGGTGAACTGGTCTTTGCTTAGTGTTTCTGTTTCAGGCGCCGCTGGGGAGGGAGGAAGATGGGGGAGGGGGAGGGCGAGGGAGGGAGGGAGGGGAGGGGAGGGGGGAGGGGGAGTGGGCAGGGTAGGTGCGCTCGCGTCATGTTTGACATCCTGCCCCTCCCTCCATCGCTCACCGCGGCACAGGTCGCCTCCATATTCGCAGAGTCGGAGGCCGAGCAGGGCAATGATCCCGAGAGGGTGCGCGATGCATCGTAGAGCGCGGCCTAGCAGGGAGCAGAAGAGCACGGCGGAGCGTAGCCTGTCATAGCACGGCGTGGGCGTTGCGAAGTGAAGAACAGCATCACGAAGCATCGCAACGCAACGAATGGCATCGCACAGTGGCACTGAACAAAGCATGACATAGCATAGCGTGGCGTTGAAGATCAAAGCGTAGCACGGCATGGTACTGCGTAGTCAAGCTCTGAATATCCTAGCAATGCAGCTGAATGCATGGCATCGCACAGCGGAGCACCTCATAGCATTGCATTGCACGCCATGGCATGGCAATGGAAAAAAAAAAAAACTATGCCAGCGTTGCATCGGGAGCACTTTCCGGAACGAGCGGCAGCGCGGAAATGAGGCCAATGTTCCAGCGGGAGCACGATCCGGAACGAACGCAAGCGCGGAAATGAGGGCTAGCGCTCCAGCGGGAACAATATTTTGACAAGCGAGCCCAAGCGAAAACCCTACTCTCGGGAAACTTGTGTTTGAAACATACTATGCGGAGAGGGGCCGAAGATCGTCTCGACGTCATCTTGGGAGAGAGGAGAATCGTGGGGGAGGGGGGGGAAAGGGGACGAGGGAGGGAAAGGGGAGGTGGAGGGGAAATGGAGGGAAAGGGGGAGGTGGAGGGGAAAGGGACGAGGGGGGGAGGGGGGTGGGGGGAAAAGGGGGGGGGTGGAAGGGAAAGGGGAGGGGAGGGGAAAGGGGGAGAGGGAGGGGGGTGGAGGGGAAAGGGGAGGGGAGGGAAGGGGAGGGGGGGGGGGGGGTGGGGGGAGGGGAGAGGGGGAGAGGAGGTCGAGGAATACGAACCTTGGCCCTCCGAGGTGAGAGCCCGCCCGAGCAAAGCACGGAGTTCCACACAGTCCCCGAGAGGGTGCTGCATGACGTGACCGTGCCGTACTGCGCGGGGGTTGCCCGAGGCGGCCCTGGCCCCATGTTTCCCCCGCTGTTCGAGCCATGTCTGAGAGGAGGAGGAGGAGGAGGAGGAGGAGGAGGAGGAGGAGGACAAGGGGGAGGAGAAGGAGGAGGAGGAGGAGAAGGAGGGGGAGAATGATCATGAAGAGGAGCAGGAGGAGGAGGAGGAGAACGAGGACGAGGGCTCTGAGGGCTCTGATGAGACGAACCTCTCCTGCGGTCCCTGGCCACGCGAAGCTCAGCGCGGAGGGAGGGAAGAACACCCGCGCACCAGGCGACGCGCCAACCACGCCGAGCCAACACGGCCCGGCCACGAGGAGCCACACAGGGTCCAGGCGCCGAAGGGCCAAGCCAACCCTACCACGTCCCCGGGAGGAACGTCGTGAGGCTGGAGCCGTGCGCGGAAGGATTCCCCCCCCACGCCCCCAACCCCAAGTCAGACCGACACGACCGTGCACAGGGAAGCGCCAGAGAACCTCAGCCAATTCTGGTCGCTGCCATTTTCACGCAGAATGCTCTACGCGTCCACGGCCTCACGCGACGCGCGCCACGCGACTCCAATGAAACGATCTCCACTGCAAAGGGTCCCAAGCATCCCCATCAACCGGATTGGTGAACTTGCCAAACATCTTCGGCTCGATCTTGCCATTCATCTTCGTCTCGGCTGCGCCAATGCTTGCAAGAATGCTTGAGGACGTACTGATGACGCCCATCTTCACCTCACATCCACCATGGCTCGCCCGCGATGCGCCGCTGCGAAGTGCGCGCGGGCAAGGCCTCTTTGGGCCCGCGGTGGCTAGGACGAGGAGGAAGAGGACGAGGACGAGGACGAGGACGAGGACGAGGAGGACGAGGACGAGGAGGAAGAGGAGGATTTTCGGCACGAGCGTCCTCCCCAGCGGTTCCGGTGCCGCTGCCCTCGGCGCGTTTTTCCATGTCTGGGCTTCCTGGGAGATCCTCTCGTCGCCACGGCTGGCTTCGCCTCGGAAAATGCTGGTCGGAGCGCACCCCTAGAGAGGTCTCTTGGGCGCAGCGGTGTGGGTGCCTTTTGGTATCCCCAAGGGGTGAAGGAGAAGGAGGAGGAGGAGGAGGATGAGGAGGAGGAGGAGGAGCAGGAGGAGGAGGAGGAGGAGGAGGAGGAGGAGGAGGAGGACCCCTTCCCCCTCCTACTTGTGGTGATGGGCGCCCTTGAGATGCCAGCTGGGCCTCCCTGCAGAGATCCCAGGGAGACCCTGGGCCAGGGACGCCTCTGGCAGCCCCCGGACCTCTGCCTAGAGCAGCGGGCGGACGGCCTGCTGGACGTGGACGCTGCCACGCTGCTCATCTGGGGTGGGAAAGGGTGCTGATACTGCCAACCTCGGCCAGGGCTGGACCCAAACGGTGTTTTCGGTGATTTTGTGGGCCGTTTCCGTTTCGACTTCGTCTTGCAGCAGAGGCGGATTGGAATTGGAGACAGAAGCGAGGGAAAAAACGAGCACAAAACGAACACGAAAAACACCGTTTAGGTTGCAGCCCTGACCTCGACTCGTTGTCGCCCTGGTGGGCCTCCTGGCAAGGCCTTCGTCGCCGCCCAGGTCAGGGGAGTGGCGGCATCAGTATCTCTTGGTTTCCCCGGCTCCGCCGCACGCCGCTCCCGAAGGGATCCTCCGCGTTCACGTCCGTGCACGTCGTGCACGCGTCGGCCGAGGGTGCCCGGGCCACTTCCGAGATCGTGCTCGGGTCCGCCAGGAGGCTCAGGGGTGACGCGTGGGCCTACGAGTGGCCGGAGCTGGAGGTCGGAGACGTCGAAGGCGAGTACGACGCGTTCTTCCGCATCACTGGCGAGCTCGTCCTGAACGGCGCGGACAGGTCCAGCCTCCTGGTCTTCGTCGCGAGCGTGGGCGACGCCTGCGAGCTGGCTGTGGCGACCATCCTGGCCATGCTTCCGTTCCGCGGCGTGCAGGTGGCCTTCGTGTCCCCCAGGCTCGGCTACGTGGACCCGCTCCGCAGGTTGACCACGAAGTCGGGCCTGTTCGAGTACGACGCCAGGCAGCCCGAGCGCATGGGCCGCTGCCCGGTGGCGGCTGTCTTCGGCCCGCTCAGGGACCGGGCCTTCCGCTGCGCGTTGGCACCGTGGCGCCCGCTGAAGCCGGCCGCTGCCGCTGATGAGAAGCCAGCCCCGTTCAAGATCGGCGCCCTCGAGTTGCCGATGGTCACGTTCGAGGGCCGATACGCAGCGGGAGTGGACCGGCTCGCCTCCCTGTTGGTGGGTCACTTCGGAGTGTCGATGTTCCCCGTCGTTGCGGTGGGAGAGACCGTGGACGCGCTCGGCTACGGTTCAGACGTCCAGAGCGCCTTGGAGCGCCACGGTGCTGCAGGCTACTACTTCGCCCACGCCTCGGGCGAGAGCAACAAGAAGCCCGAAGCGTATGGCAGCCCAGAGCTCTTGAAGACAATCGCTGCGGCCAAGAGCGCCGAGAAGCGCGTGGTGGTCGTCGCCGTTGGTGGAGGCGTGAACGGCAACACGATGGGCACGATCGCGGCCATGATTGGAGCAGATTTCGTGGAGGTGCCTACGACACTGATGCATTACAACGACGCCACCACGTCTGCGAAGAAGGCTTTCAGCCTCGTGAGGGGGGGCCAGATCCTCTCCAAGAACATCCTGGGCACCTTCTACCTCCCTCAGCTGGTCTTCTGCATCAGCGAGACCTTTCTTACCTTGTGCTCCAGTAGCGTGCATGCAGCTGTGGGCGAAGCCACCAAGACAATGAGCATGCTTGGTAACACCACATCGACTGCAGGGCAGCATAATTTTTATTGAAGGCGCTCCGCGTCCGCCTCCCGTCCATGCTGTCTCTCGCCGGAAGAGCCGAGGGTGGCCCCGGGACGGGAGGAAGACATGGCAGGGTTTTTTTTGTACCTCTTCCCACCCTCCACTCTGCGGGCCATGCTCGAACAGGCAGGGCCCCACACGTTCTCGTTCGCTGCGATTCGGTCCGTGGGCTGGGCCCGCGATTCCGATTCGATTCGATTCGGTTCGACTCCTTTTGCGTCCCGATCCGACGTCGCGATCCGATCTGGCGCAGGTCGGACAGGCGCTGGAGGTTTCTCCTCCTCCTCCTGCTCCTCCTGCTCCTCCTCCTCCTCCTCCTCCTCCTCCTCCCTAGGGTTGAGTCGGGCCCGTCCCTCCACAGCAAAAATATGAAAAAATTGTCTGGGGGTCATTTTCCATTTTTTTCTTTTTTTTATACTATTTTGAAGTAGTTGTTGCTCTTGCCGAAGTCGTCGTCCAGAAACATGGGGTCGCATCAAGTCGGGCACGTCCCACTATTGGAGGAACATCCGAAACTAATCCAAACATAGTCCGGGGGCGATCTTTCGAATATTTTTGACGATTCTTGACTATTTGTTTGACTATCTTTCATTTTTCGTCCAGAACCCGCCTGTAGGAGGACATGCCCGACCTAACCCCAGGGTGAGCGGTCGAGGTGCCAATGGTTCGGTAGCAGATCGTGGGAGCCTGGGTACCCCTCTTCGTTTCGTCTTTAGCATCGGCTAGCGTCGATTAGCGTCTGGGAGTCGATGGGGCAGCGCCGATCTAGCGTCGGCCCGCGTCGATCAGCGTCGACTTGGTGTCGATTTGGCGTCGATTAGCGTCGATTTAGCGTCGACGAGCGTCGATTCGCAAAAGCCGGCAAGATGTCATGGGACGCTCCCATGAGTTGCCATCGAACAGTGGGAGCGCAGCGAGTCGTCGCGCTCTCTCCCAGCCGCCCTCCCGCCAACAAAGGACACCAGGGCTTGAGCTGAACGGTGTTTCGGCAATCTCGTGGGCCGTTTTCGTTGTGATTTTGTTTTTTTTGCAGCAGGAGGGAACGAAGACAGGACGAGGCATAGCGAAGGCAAGACGTGCACGGAAAGCACTCTTTGGCTCTTGCCCTGGGACACCCAGCATTCAGCACGACCAGGCGTGTGTCGCCGTGCGGTGAACCGCCGTCGGGAGACAGAACGTGCACCAGGTGCGCGACGCCTGCGAGGTGCGCCGCGCGCGTGCCAGGTGCGCCACACGCCCCAGGTGCGCCAGGTGAGGAGGAGCAGGAGGAGGAGGAGGAGGAGGAGGAGGAGGAGGAGGAGGTGCACCGTGCCAGGCGTGCGTGGTACGCCATAAGCGGCATGCGCTCACTGTGCGCCACGCCCCCGCCGCTCCAGATATGCGCCGCGTGCGCAACGCGCGCAGAGTGCGCCGTGCGGCGACGGGTGCTCCAGGGAACGCGACAGCGAACAGCTCACAACACGTCGGCAGCCCCGCCATCCGCGTCAAGAAGCAGAGCGAAGTACAGTGGAGACCCATGCCAAGAAACACCCTGCTTGCCTCCAGATTGCCCTGGATTTCTTGGGTCTCGATGGTTTTGCCATGGCGAGCGTGACGTTCCCAAGACCAGAAATCGATGGACGTTCTGGGGTCTCAATGTTGGGTTTCTTGCAGAAGGTTTCTTGTGGATTGGTATCCATTGTAGTGGACGGGTGGTCAGGTCGGAACAGGGTGTGTGCGCCCACAGACAATTCACGCCGTTTTTTCATGCGAGTAGTGGGCGATCGCACAGAGGACGAAGGCGATCCCGTCCCCGCCATTCTGTTGAAAAGCCCATGCAGAGTGATCTTGGGGTGACCGTTTATGACCCAGATTTCTCCGCGACGTGATTGTGACAGGCAAGGTTCGGGGGCGCAACGTTCCTGGCCAGAGGCCAGTCTAGCGGGGGAGGGGGTGCTTATTGGTAGAGATCAGTGCTGAGCCTCTCCCCGGAAGGCCAGGACGGGGGCTGCAAGAACGAACTTGCGAAACTGCTTGCGCCCACAGGCCTGGTGGGTTTCACAGCAAGAGGCTAGAAACTGCCAGAAAGCGGCTCAGGAGTGCCCCCAAGACTGCCCGGTGACTGCCCAGGAGGCGCCAAGAAAAGTCGAAGAGGGCCCCGACATTTGCAAACACAACAGCAGTCCAGGGAAGGGTAGGCGGCGCAGCGTGGTTTCTTGGTGGCCCATAGCGCAAGCATCCCCGCGTTGGGCCCGAGTGCCGTCCGAACTGTTCTCAGTCTGGGCTCGGGTCGGAGCCGGACTGGAGCCCAAGTCGGTCCGAGCATCCGAGAATCAAGGAAGCCTCCTCCTCTTCCTCCTCGATCAGGTGCTCCATGGGGGACCACCCAGGGGATCCCCTGGCAAGCGAAGTCGTGGAACGCCCGTCTGCTTTGAGAATGAGAGGGCGAGGTTGTCGACCTGCCGACGAAGTTGACAGAAGAGGTGTCTTGTCTGGAGGTAGGAAAGGGGCGTGGTGTAAAGGGGAGCGGTGCCAATTTATGGAAAGGGGGAATCTGGCGATGCTATCTATCGCAGACATAGCGTCACCATTCCCACGACTGTCACCGTACCCCTTGAATGCCACACCTCTCTCCGACCTCCAAAGTTCTATGCGTCACAGGGGGGCTGATATTGGAGGCCACGAGGCGGCCCAGGCGGGGTCAGCTCAGAGGACACATCCGTTCCGAAAAACGGTTAGCAGTGATCTGCGTTTCGTGCTCGGCTCGGACGCCGTGTTGGGCTGCAACCGCGCAGGGGCTGGCGGAATCGTGCTTCGAGGGTAAAAGGTGGCGCTGAAGCCCCGAAATGAGCTGTCGAACGTGTATGGGGATACCGGGAAATCAAAGGGTACCGCGACCGCTACCTCCTGGACATCTTCCGGGGTGCGTTCTGATTAGAATTCTGAGGCGAATGCAGCCATGGCAACGAGGGACTCCCAGCAGTCCCTAGAAGGCGAAAACGAGGCCAGGGTGGCGGTGTACCTTCTCCTTGTCAGTCAGCCCAGTAGGCGGGCTGATCATAGAGGTGGAGGCCATTCCGTGGCCCCCCGGCATAGCGGTTTGGGGTTGCTGTCTTTGGCTCCGTCTTTGTAACGGGGCCGTGCGGGGCGCCACCAGAGGACTTAATGGCCACGGGGTGGGAGCCAGGTTTGGACCCTCGGTCCTGCGGGCGTCTGTGGGGGGGTCTCGAGGCGGGGGCATCCTCTAGCGCTCGTGGGGCCGTCGTCGGCCTTTCTCGGGGGTCACATGTGTGGGGCCCTCTGCCCGCCCCTTGGGTCTCGGAGGCCTCTGGAGCTTCTCTCGGGGGCGGTCTTAGCCGCATAGCGGGGAATGCCATATCCATAACGCATCGCGAACGAACGTTGGCTGTGCGAGCGAGATCGTCCGGAATATGTCATAGCCTGTATCTCGAGCGTCTTGGGCGCATCAGTGAGCCATCTCGGAGAATAAAGGTCCCCGCATTCGGGCCCCGCTGGAGGTCTATACAGAACTTGAAATACGAATGCATCGAGTGCTCAGTCGGACATGTTTGGAGCCTCGACGGCCGGGAAGGTTGGTTTGGGAACCTCGGGCCCCCAACCTTGACCCCAATCCCCCCATAAATGGCTGCTTCGCCCCAAGGGAGAATTGTCATAGGGAGGGGGGCTGCCAGCCAGCTCACACGCCTTTTTCCACCGCCGTCCCGGCAACACCGGGGCTGTCGGACAACATTTTGGGCGGCGCTGAGTTCGCGAGCGACTTCACGCGCATCACGGGCGGCGTCGAAGGCTTCGAGCACCTCGTCAGATTTATCCGCGACTCCCGGGAGCTCAAGGGCGAGGCGCTCAGGCTCGGGCGCCAGATTGCGGAGGCAAGGACCTCGGCGCCCGCGGGCGCGGAGCTCGCGCGGCTCGCCGCCCAGCGCGAGGGCGCTCTGGCCGAGCTCCGCGCGCGCTTCCACGGCGGCATCGCGGCGGAGAGCCGGGACGGCATCATGTCTTTCCTCACGGTCATCAACGAGGAGACGAGGAAGAAATTCGGAGAGATGGCGATGATGGCATGAACATCATATCTCTGAGGTCCGCGCAGGTTTCTCGGATCGGCGCTGGAGCCCCCATGGCGCGCTCCGCGCGCCAGGGAGGGGGGTTCCAGCGCCGAAGGGAGTAACCCGCGCGGACCTCTGAGTTTTCATGCTTATGCCACTGCTTGTTCCCCTGAACTAATGCTTAACGCCGCGGATGCAGCCACATCCACTGATATGGCAGGCGTGCTCGCCGGAGTCCTCGCGGAGTCCTCGCGGAGTTGGTGATGTCGGTGCCTTCCCACCCCCTGAGGGAGGCGTCTCGCCCAGATCCAGCAAAAGAAACAAGTGGCACGCGTGCCCTGGTTCTTGCACCAGGAGCTGCGAGGGAAAGGAGGCTTTCGACTCCTTCCTCCAGGAGTTTCCTTCTGTGGCCAGGGGGGGGACGAACGACGAACGAACGACCGACGACGACGTCGAACGAAAATAAAGAGGTCCGAGCTCTAGAACACAGCTGTGCAATCTAATATCAGCGCAACCATGAGCTTTCGGAGCCCCGGGCGAGTTTCTTGGACCTGCGTGGGGCCCCCGCTTGGCGTCGAGGGAAGGAGGCGCGACGCCGGACGCCACCACCGCCAGGGGGATCCCTCCAGCGAGGAGGTCCACGATGCCTCCCCGACCCGGGGCCGCCCGGGATACGATTCGATGCGATTCGAATCGCCGTACGTGGCCGCGATTCCGCTTCGATACGATTCGGCTCGCTCCGCCGGCACTGTCCGGGGTGAGCCCGAGCCGGGCGCGGCGATCCGATGTCGATCCGATCCGGGATGCTTCTGCTGGCGACTCGATCCGTGTCCGACCCGATTCGGCAGCAGCGAGTCGATCCAGCTCAGTCCTGCCCTGAGGGAGTGGGGACGTCTCCAGCGAGGGGGACGCCCCCCCCCCCCCCCCTGGCTCCTCCCGCTGGTGGTCCTTCGTCGTGGTGGTGTCGCCTTCCCATGTTCCTGCTGGCGGCGCCCGCGGCGCCGCCGCCGGCTCCGGAGGAGGCGCAGGGGGGGTGGGGCCCAGCGCAGATCCGGGTCATCCGCGCGGACCTCGGGCTGGGTAGTCGGAGGCCGGACTGTCAGATTGGATTGGGCCCCAAGGGCCAATCTGGCCCGGCCAAACTGGATGATTTGGGTTATTCGCCAGACTGGATTCGCGTTGGCTCCCTCGCCAGATTGCCCCCGTTTGCCAGATTGGGCCTGCCAGATTGGCGCCAGATGGGCTTCGACTACCCAGTCGGGAGGTGCACGTGCAGTGTTGTGCAGCACCTCGGCTGCCTCGCCCGCGGCCTGGTGCCACGCCGCCGGGCGTCGCGGTGTGGAGAGTCGTTGCAAGCGGTGAGTACTGCGCCAGGGCGATGGGATCTGATCCGTTGCAGTGCCGTTTTGGCTCTGGACGCTCTCGTCGTTCCACGTCGTTGCTCGGCCGAGCGCGTGGACTGGGAAAGCACGCTGGGGCCCTCAGGTTGCACAGCAGGCGGGGCCCCCCCTCGCTCGGTCGTGTGCTCTTCTCGTCCTCCTCCCTCGTACGCTTCCGAGCCGGCTTGCACACACTTCCGCGGAGAGTTGTCTTGAGGCCTTGTGTTTCGTTCCAGGAGATCATCCGCGCCAAGGCCATGTTCCTTGCCTACTCCGACCCGTTCGAGAAGTACCGCGCGCTGCTCTTCGAGTACGCTCACACGCTCGGCCACGGCATCGAGGCAGTGATGAACGGGCTGTATCGCGAGGCAGAGGCACGGGGCATCGACCACGGGGACGCCTTCCGCCTGCACGGGCAGTGCGTGGGCATGTCTGTGGTCCTCCTCCTCCTCCTCCTCCTCCTCCTCCTCCTCCTCCTCCTCCTCTCCTCCCTCTCCTCCTCTCCTCCCTCTCCTCCCTCCCTCCCTCCCTCCCTCCCTCCCTTCTTCTCCTCCCTCCCTTCTTCTCCTCCTCCTCCTCCTCCTCTGCCTGTGGTCCTCGCGGGCGAGATGTCCAGGCGGCTGGGCCACCTGCGGGGGGACGGCTTCGTCGCCCACCAGGAGACCGCTTCGCCGCGGGGGAGACGGGTCCTGTAGGGGAAACGGGTCCTGAGCTTTGTAGGCCCTTGAAACGGCAGGGCCGTTTTTTCACCGTTTCCAGAAAGATGTCCCTTGAAAATGGAAACGGCAGAAAAACGGCGACCGAAAACGGCGGAAACACGGCTCCAGGATTGGAACCGGAGCCGGAACCGGTCAAACAACGGCGACGGAACCGGTAACAAAAACGGCGTCGGAACCGGCACCAAAACGGCAAAACGGAACTGGTAAAAAAACGGCCCTGTCGTTTCCAGGGCCCTTTTAAGGTCCTGCGGTGTTTCCCCGTTGTCGAGCTCCCGGGGCCCTCCAGGGGGCCCCAGGACTGCCAGAAGTCGACTCGGGAAGAGGACCTTGTCCTGGGTGAGGGCCCCCGGGCCTGGGATCCGCTTCCTCGGGGATCGTTCCATTCATGCTAGCAGGAGAGTGTTGTTAGTTCAGTTTATTCGAGGGGACGCTAACATGGATTGTGGCGGCGCTGGCTGTCGCTAAATGAGGCGGCCTTGGCCCCACGGGTCGGGGAGAACCACCTTCCCCGACCCATGGACCCGGCGCCCACGCGCCACATCCATGCATCCCTAATCCATGTTGGCGTGCGCCCGATTTATCCTTTGGCTCGGAACAGTCGTTGCCCAGGTCACCCCCCCCAATGGGTAATGGTATGTAGCCATAGTGCGTGGGGGGGGGGGTCTGGACCTCCGCCTCCACAGTTGGTGCCCGCGCGGGCACTTCAGCGATCGCGGCGCGCCCCCGCCCCGGTATGCCCCACCCCGCCCGAGCGTTACCATTGCCCGGGGTCCCAACCCCTCTCGGCACCCAGGGGTCTTGCGACCCGAGGAGGAGGAGGAGGTGGAGGAGGGGGAGGAGGGAGGAGGAGGAGGAGGGAGGAGGAGGAGGAGGAGGAGGAGGAGGGAGGAGGAGGAGGAGGAGACGGGAGGAGGAGGGAGGTGGAGGAGGAGGAGGAGCAGGAGGAGGAGGAGGAGGAGGAGACGGGAGGAGGAGGGAGGTGGAGGAGGAGGAGGAGGAGGAGGAGGAGGAGGACGGGTCGCACAAGCCCTTCTGAGAGACCCTCCACCAGAAGTGGGGTAAAAAGCACAATGTCCAGTCGCTGGTGTATCTGTTCAACAGCTTCGGGGGCTACGACTTCGGGCCTCTGCGCCGGCTCTGCGACGACCTCGGGGTCGGCAGGGAGGAGTTCTGCGAGAGCGTCCTGAAGGCGCCCGCGCCGCGGATGCAGCCCTGCCCACCGATCTTGCAGACGTGCCCCCCTGGGGATCTTGCGGAGTTTGGGACGTTGAGATGGGTGTAAGGTAGGACAGCCGCAGGATTCCCGAACTTATACCGCGTTTCGCGCCGTCTTCGCGGTCTGGACTCGAGCAATTGCCCGTACTCGAGTGGGCGGCGCGAGGCGCGAGGGCGCGAAGATAATCGTGCATCTCGGGGCGCGATGCGCGAAGTTGGGTCACCTACGAATACAGTGGGGGCCAGTCCGCAAGAAACCTTCCGCAGGAAACCCCATCCTGAGACCCCAGGACGTCCATCGACTTCTGGTGTGGGGACTTAGCGCCTGCCATGGCACAACCGTCGAGACCCAGGGCACCCTGGAGGCAAGCAGGGTGCTTCTTGGCATGGGCCTCTGTTGCAGGGATGCCTTCCCGAACCTCGGGGGCGGGACACGCGCAGATCTCCGGCCGCTCCGCGAGAAGTCCTCGAGGGGCACGCCTCCAGAGGGCGGTGGGCGCGAGGCATTGCACAGTGCACAGTCAAGGCGCTGGAGTAAGGAACAGATATAGTGGAACGAAGAATGGTATAACCAGAACAACCCGGAGGTCCGCGCGGAATTCTCGGATCCGCGCTGGACCCCCCCTGGCGGCGCCTCCTGCGCCGCCCCTGGCGCGCTCCGCGCGCCAGGGAGGGGGGTCCAGCGCAGATCCAAGAAATCCGCGCATCTCCGAGTTTTCATGTTTATGTCATTCTTCGTTCAGACGGGGCTCGATGCTCCCTAGGTCCTTCCATGCCTGTTCCTCTGGCCCTCCTCGTGCATGCAGGCGCTTTGGGGGCGGCTTCGTTCCTTATTGATCGTCCCGTATTTCAGCAGCCCGCCTGTAAAAAGGTGGTCCGGCGCGACAACAAGCGCGGCTACTGCAAGTGCGCCCCTGGTTGCAGCGTCGACCAGCTCGTGCAGGGCAGGCCGGGCTCCCTTCTGCGCAGCGACGACCCCAGCGCCGAGCTCCGCTACTTGGTGGAGGTCATCGGGGGCGTCAACTCCATCCATGGCAAAACAAAGTGCTGCTTGGATGCGAAGTATTGGAGATTGGCATTTCTGGGAGGTTGATCTAAGCATCAGCCTTGGTAGCCCTTCTGGGTTCGTCTGGGCCGATCCGATTTCCTCATGCCTACTCTAGCTTAGTCGGTTGTTGTTCGTGTCCTGCTCAGGCCTAGTGGTTTTTAGGAGTTGGCCTCTCACATGAGGTCACATGTTTCGATGTTGGCCCCAGAAATTGCCTGGCCAGGGTTTGTGTGTGTGTGAGCGTATAGTGGCGGCCCCCGATTGTTCTAGTTCTCCTGCGCCTCCGCCTCTTCCTCCTCCTCAGCATTGGCTTCCAGCCTTGGAGGCCGTTCGGGGCTTGTTCGGGGTATCTTTGATCGTGTCAGCGCGTTCCTGGGACGTCTGACGCCGTCGGGAGCCGTCTTTGGAGCCTCTCTGGACCGTCTTGGGGCCCATTTGGTGTGCTTCAGGGCCGTCTTGGAGGTCATCTTGGCCGTCATGGAGGCTTCTTGGGCCGTCTTTGGGCCCCCCCTCTGGGCCGCCCTGGGGACATTTTGGAGGCCTCTTGGGCGCTGTGGGGACGATCTAAGGGGTCTCTTGGGCCGTCTTGGGCTCTGAAGGCAGACACGAAGCAAATGCCAACATCCTGGAACCTTATTGATTTTTGCTTCCTCGGGCCCTCCTGGAGGACCTCTTGGAGGCCTCTTGGGCCGTCTGGAAGGTCTCTTTGGGGGCTCATGGGCTGTCTTGGGCCGTCTTGGATGCTTGTTGGGCAGACTTGGAGCAATAGTCCGACGATGGCATTCAACCGTGCCATCAGAGTTGCTCAGCGGTCCTCTCGACTGCCCCGCCCCACGGCGATGCTGCTCCTCTCGCCACGAGGGCCGAGATAAGGGCCGCTGGCATCCGCCACCCACGGATTTCACCGTGGTCTTGGGAGGCCATCAGTTGGCTTGTGCTCCCGTTGGGCAGTTTCGGGGGTCCCTTGCGGCTCTCTTGGGCCGTCTTGGGGGACCAATTGAGTCGTCTTGGGGTCTTGGGGTTCCCTTGGCCGTCTGAGGGCTTTCTTGGGGCCGTCGTCGACCTGTCCTGGGGCCTTTGTGGCCGTCTAGGCTCTTTCTCAGCACCCTCTCGGGTCGTCTTGGAGGCTAGCATCGCCATGATTCGAGGATGTCTCGTGCGAAGCGATCATTCTTATCAGAAGGCGGCTTGGGCTAGGATCCCCAAGGTCGCGATTTTCAGGGTAGTCCGAGCGCAACGGCCGTTTTTCTGGAGACGTTGGTAGCGCAGTGGGCAGGCCATTCTAGGTGGCCGGCGCGCTGGGCTGGAGCCCCAGGGGGAGTAACTATATATATATATATATATATATATATGTGTGCGTATATACCTACATATATATATATATAATCTGTATGTCTGAATATGTATATATATATATATATATATAAAACTAGGGTCCCACCCAGGGACCTCGGCGGCGCATGGTGTTTTTTTGCAGGGTTTCGGCGACCCAGAGCCAACAGAGCCCCACGAGGTTGCAGGGAGCTCCAGGGGCTGCTCCCGCCTGGTGCCCCAGGTCTCCCACAGGCTTCCCGGAGGCCTCCAGGAGAGCTCCCTAAAGCTCAAACGCTTGGTTTTCCAATAGTTTTCCCACGTTTTTCTCCATGCAGCCTGATGTGCATCCCCACGCTGCACGGCAGCCCCAGAGGACGTTCGGACCGACGTGGTTCGGCCCCAGAGGCTCCCAACCTTGTCCCCAAATGGTTCCGCATGGGACGATCGGCGCGCACTTTCCCTGTGTGTTATTTACAAGGTTTCGGCAACCCGGAGCCAGCAGAGCCCCAAGAGGTTGCAGGGAGCTCCAGGGGCTGCTCCCGCCTGGTGCCAGAGGCTTCCCACAGGCCTCCCAGAGGTCTCCAGGAGAGCTCCCCGAAACTCAAACATCTGGTTTTTCCTTCCCATAGGGTAATTATTTCCATGTTTTTCTTCATGCAACCTGTTTTGCATCCCCATGTTGCACGGCAGCCCCAGAGGACGCCCAGACCGTCCCGGTTCGGCCCCAGAGGCTCCCAACCTTGTCCCCAGATGGCCCCGCATGGGTGGATCGGCGCGCCCCAATAGGGTCACAGCGGCCAGGGACGCTCCAATATCCCTGCGGCGCCGACGATCACCCCAAGACAACCCCCCGAACGACTTCGTCGACACGTTCTGCTTCCAAGCGGCCTCCCCGGAGGGCTCTCAGAGGCCTTATTCCTTGTTTTCCCATATATGTGTGTATGTATGTATGTATTTGTGTATGTATGAATATATGTATGTATGTATGTATGTATGTATGTATGTATGTATGTATGTATGTATGTATGTATGTATGTATGTATTTATGTATGTATATGTGTATGTATATGTATATATATATACATATACATATACATATATATATATATATATATATATATATTATGTTACACTCATCCAGCTTGTTCTGCATTCCCCACGCTGCACGGCAGCCCAAGAGGGCGTCCAGACCGATGTGGTTTGGGCCCCCGGGGCCCCCGACTGTGGTCCAAGACGGTTCCGCATGGGAGGACCAGCGCCCCCAAGTAGGCCCCACGAGCTGCCAGAGTCGCTTCCAGGCCTGCGCGACGCCGACGATCGCACACAACCCCCCGAGCGACTTTGTCGACGCGGTCTGCTTCCAAAAGGCCTCCCCGGAGGGCTCTCTGAGGCCTTCCTCGTTGTTTTTGCCCACGTTTTTTTTCCACGTCTTCACTCATCCAGCTGATTCTGCATCCCCACGCTGCACGGCATGCCAAGGAACGCCCAGACCGATGTGGATCGGGCCCGTGGGCTCCCAACCGTGATCCAAGACGGCTCCGCATGAAAACACTGGCGCCCCCAAGTAGGCTCCACGAGCCGCCCGAGTCGCTTCCAGGCCTGCGCGGCGCCGACGGTCGCCCCGCGACAGCTCTCCAGGCCACCTCGCCAGCAAAAGAGGCTTCCTAAAGGCTCCCCACGAGGGCCCCCTGAGGCTCAAATCCTAGCTTTTCCCATGGTTTCTCCGGGGTTTCTGGCCACCCAGCTTGTCCTGTTTTTCGACGGTGCAGGCTCGTCCTAGAGGCCCCAAAATTTGCCCCGCTGCGGCTCCGGAGGCTCCCAACCGTGCCCCATGACGGCACCGGGCATCAACCTCACGGCTGAAACGGCGCCAACGAGGAGCCCCGAACACCTCAACGCGGCCGATTAGGACCACAAGAGAGGTTTGGGGGCCTTTGCGGTCGCCAGAGTCTGTCTCGACACTGCTGATTGCGTCTCGACGTCCCACGACCGAGCCAAATACCTGTCACAGAGCATCAAGAGCGGGGAGGGGAAGGAGGACGAGGACAAGGAGGAAAGGAATGATAAGGAGGAGGACGACGAGGAGGAGAGGGCGGAGGATAAGGCGAAATAAGGGGAGGAGGAGGAGGAGGAGGAGGAGGAGGAGGAGGAGGAGGAATAGGAGGAGGAGGAAGAAGAGGCAGAAAAGGAAAAATAATAATAACGATAATAATAATAAGAAGAAGACGAAGACGAATAATAGTAATACAAATAATAATAATAATAAGAATAAGAATATTCATATTACGAACAATAATAATAATCATAATAATAATAGTAATACTAATAAGAATAATAATAATAATAAGACGAATAAGAATAATAAGAATAATAATAAGACGAATAAGAAGAACAGTAAGAAGAGAACTCATAAGAAGAAAAGGAGGAGGAGGAGGAGGAGGAGGAGGAGGAGGAGGAGGGTGGAGGAGGAGGAGGAGGAGGAGGAGGAGGAGTAGGAGGAGGAGGAGGAGGAGGAGGAGGAGGAAGAAACGCGAGGTTGGGGGGGTGGGGGTGGGGGTGCCTCCTCCTCCTTTGCGTCGTCGTCGTCCTTCTCCTCATCCCGTCCTCGTCCTCCTTCTCCTGTTCCTCCCTCTCTTTCCCGCGATCCTCCTGCACCTCTTGCTGCTGCTGGTGCTGGTGCTCCACATGCTGCTACTCCTCCTTCCGCTGCTCATCCTCCTGCTCCTCCTCTCCCCCCTGTTTGCCCTCCCCCATCACCCCCCTCTCCTCCTCCTTTTTCCCTCTCCTGCTCTTGCTCTTGCTCCTGCTCCTACTCCTGCACCTCCTCCTTTGATGCTGCTCCTCCTCCCCTGCCCTCCTCCTCCTGCTCCTCCTCCTCCTCCTCCCCCTCCTCCTCGTCCTCCTTCTGCTCTTCCTGCTCCTGGACGCGGGGTTTTCGGGCCGCACTTTCGGGGCGGAGGAGGGGTCCAGGGATCGTGGAGGATTCCAGGGGCCGAAGATGGGTCAGGCGTCAACGCGGGTCCCCGGAGCCAGGGGTCCAAAACCCAGCGTCCAGAATCCATCCAGGGCGGAAGAGAAGGAGGAGGGCGACGAGGAGGAGGAGGAGGAGGAGGAGGAGGAGGAAGAAGAAGAAGAAGAGGCCAGGGAGGAGACGAAGGCGAACGAGGACGAGGGCAAGTACGAAGACAAAGGGCGAGGAGGAGGCCGACAACGATGACGAGCAGGGTGGGAGTCCGGACAGTTCTCTGTTGAGCCTCGGGTTTCGTTCCCCTTTCCCTGGGGTGGATTTACAGCTACGGTTCGGTCAGCATCGGTTTGATTCGGCCCAATTCGGTCCACAAACGATCTTGGTTCGGTTCGGTTCGGGTTTCTACTGCGACCATTCCGGTTCGGTTCGATTCGTCCTGGGGCGGACGTTGGTTCGCGGCCTTTCGATTCAGCTTGGTTCAGTCCGGGCAGTTTTGGAACCTTCCTGCAAGGAAGCACTGCGACGGAGTTGCGCCATGAAGGAGGGTGCACAGTACGAGATTTCCAAGGCTCCAGGAAGGTCGGCCGTCAGGACCCTTTGGAACGAGATCCGCTGTCGAAGGAACTGCTTGCCTTGACACCCTTTGGCGCTATGATTCCGTGACTAGAACCTAGTTGCGCGCGTAACGCGCGTGGTTCCCGTGCATCTACACACGTACATATATATATATATATGTATACATGCACACCCACATATACATATATACATGCATATATATACATATATATATATATATATATGTTTATGTGTGTATACATACATTTGTATATGGTGTGCGTACGTATGTTGTGCGTGAAGTATGTATGCATGTATGCATGCACACATATATATATATACACATACATAAACCACATGCACATACAACACATACACACTCGTAGGATCCAGCACAAGCAAGCCAAGCAAACAAAACTACACAACCTAGTAGGATCTAGAACGCCGGGTACCCGTGTGGCAAGACCACAGGGGGCGGCGGATCTGCCTTCGGCCCATCACGCCACCGTGCCTGGGTTGTGGGTTGCAGGCCTCTTGGATGTTCGTTGGGTAATCGTGGGGGGCTTCTCGGGGGCTGCTTGGAGGCAGTTTGGGGGCCTCTTGGGGGCCGTTTGGGGGCTTCTTGGGGCCTTTTTGGGGAGCCTCTCGGCGGCCTTTTGGGCTCCCTTGGGGGCTCCCTTGGGGGCCTCTTGGGGCCTTCCGGGGGCCCTTTGGGGCAGAAGGCTCGAATTGTGTGTTCGTGCTCCCCCTGTTGGGGCCGTTTTGGGGCACTCTTGGACGATCTTGGGCGCCTTTTGGGTCGTTTGGAGGCCCTCTTGGACTGTCAGGGGGGCCCTGCTGGGGACCTCTTGGGCCCAGTTGGGGCGGTCTCGGGGGCCTCTGGGGTCATCTTGGAATGTCGGAATCTCGAAAAAGCAAGAACGCCAAACGCATCGAACAACTCGTGTAACATCAATGGTGTTTGCCTCTATGAACCCTCTTTGGGGTCCTCTTGGAGCGCTTTTGGGGTTTCTTTGAGGCCTCTTGGGCCATCATGGGCGTCATGGACCCTCTTTGCCGCTTTCTGGGGCCCTCTTTGCCCGTCTTGGGGCACCCTAGCCTTTGGGCAAGTCACGCGGGACAGCTAAGGAACGCGCGGGATCGCCCGGGAAGTTTTATAATGTTGTTCCCCCGGCCTTAGAATGTTCTCCAAGTAGGTTTTTGCTATACGAGCCCCAACTCAAACCGCACTATTTGGTCCGTTGCCCCCCTAATTCCTACACTCCCGTTAATTATGATGCCCATGCCTATGCCTATGCCTCCCCCGAACTCCTATGCCTACGCCTCTGTCTATGCCTGCTTGCTTGCTTGCTTGCGCGTTTGCATGCTTGATTGCTTGCTTGCTTGGTTGCGCGCTTGCGCGCTTGCTTGCACACTTGTTTGCTTGCTGAGTTGCAGAACGCAAGCACGCTTGATTCCTTTGATTCTTTGATTGGAATCGCCTACACGATTCGGAGTCCTGAGCATAGAGAACAGAGGACACATGGGGACCTGGGGAAAACTCCACTTCGTGCTTCGCGGCACGGTGGCGGATACATAGACACAGACGTATGTATGTATAGCCACGTCCAGGTGGGGGAGTGCGCGTCCTTTGTAAAATGCAGGGACATCGCAGCGTTCCTTTCGCACCCCCGAAGGCCACATTCGGTTTGGCAGGTGGTGCAAGGCCAGGCCAGGGAATCGGTTCAGAACTGCGAGATGGTGATCTGGATGGGGCATGGTTTGCCCCTCCTTCGGATATGCGGGGTGGGTTGGGCACGTGCTGTCGGAACGGGTGGAGGGTGGCGGGGGGGGGGTACGGATGAGGAGGAGGAGGAGGCGGAGGAGGAGGAGGAGGAGGAGGCGGGGGAGGAGGAGGAGGAGGAGGAGGATCATTGCAAACCCAAGACTTGACGAATTTGCAAGACACCCTCCTTTTCAAGTTCCCTCTTCGCAGGTCCCTGCAATGTTTCATTTTCATTTAGGCAGGTGCCTCGTTGGAAGACACTCGTGTGGAACTCCTGAGGCGTGCCAAAACACCAGTCCTGGGCCTTCAACTCACGCCGCGAATTGACTGTATAGTTGCGTCCTGACATTTTTCAAGCGTGCCATAACGCTGTTCCTGTGACTCCAACCCCGCGGGTCAATGTGATTGCTGCGCCCTGACAGCTCTACATCGTCACCACTTTGGGGAAGTCAACCATATCAGCCCTTGACATGGCAACGCTGGGTCGAGAGCCGCATTTTGAACATGAACCGCATTCCATCCGTAAAACTCTTGCAAACCTTGAATGTGTATGTGCGCGGCGCCGGGGCGATAACCATATTCTGAAAACGGGCTGCCCTCCATCCGTGGAGCCCTCGCAAACTTTCAACACGATTTTGTTGCGCGGCGCTGTGGCGATACCCACATTCTGCAAACGACCCGCCCTCCATCCGTGAATCTCGCGCGATTTTGTCAAGACAATTTGGGCGCGGCGTTGGGGCGAGCGCCACCCACTGCAGACCACCCGCCCTCCGCCCGTGAGGCTCCTGCCAGTTCCAGTCTTCGGGCTCCTGCCTGACATGGGCGTGGCCTGCCCTGGGCCCAGAGACGGCCGAGGGCACGCGCCCGGCGCCCTCGGTCCTTGTGGCGGGCTCCTCCCAGCGCGAGGCGACGCCCTGCCACGGTGGGGAACGCACGCGTCTCGTTGGGCTTGTCTGTCCGTGAAGCGCGCGCGGGGGGGGTAGCCCTCCTGAGAGGCAGCCGACATGTCGATTTGCCTTTCTTCCCAGTTTCGAGCATTGGCGAAGCGTCCTGGCTTGCCGCATTAGACCCACCAGAGACTGTTCTAAGAACCTCTTGTGGTCCGCACGCGTTGTCCTTGGGACGTTTCTAGCCCAGACTTGTCTTGTTGTCACACATCGGGTCTGTGTTAGAAGAACGCTGTTGTCGTTATCAGATTTTGTTTCGGGTGCTAAGGACGTTTCGTGGAAGTCTTATGGGAATGCCGGGACGGTCGGCCCCTGCTCAACGGTTGTTTTCGAACAACAAATCGCCATACATATAAATTTTGAGAGTTCCGCGCGGTTTTCCTTGGATCTGCGCTGGACCCCCCTCCCTGGTGCGCGGAAGGGGTGGCGCCGGATGCGCCGCCAGGGGAGCCCAAAGAAACCCGCTTAGAGCGCCAACAGTTTATGTTTATGGCATTTGTTTTGTGCTCTCGCTGGAAAAACATCTGGATCCTGGAGCCCTCGCAGGTCAGCGAGGACTCGCAGCGGGACGTTCTCATGGACGCCCTGGAGGGGCACTTCGACAACGTGCTGGTGGCCGCGGGCCCTGGTCAGCTCCTGCACGTTCCCCGCGCGCAGGCCCTGATGATGATGACAACGACGATGACGATGACGATGGTGATCATGGTGATGATGATGCTGCTGATGATGCCGATGACGATGATGCTGATGACGATGATGGCGACCCCGAGCGCGGGCCCTGATACTGATGACGACGATGATGATATGATGCTGATGATGGTTATGATGCTGATGCTGATGATGATGATGCTGATGATGCTGATGACTATTATGACGATGCTGATTATGACGATGATGACGCTGTCGATGGTGACGATGACGTTGACGATGGCAACGATAATGGCGATCATCATCACCGTCATCGTTGTCGTCATCGTCATCATCTTCATCATCATCCTTCTTCTCCTCCTCATCAT